TTTATTTGTTTATTTTATTTTTTAAATATTAAGTTGGTTAAAAATTTAGTTTTTGTGAATTACAATAATTTTTTTCTCTCTATATATTTTTTTATTTTTTTCATAAACACAAGACAATGCACAAGTATGTCGAAAACCTGCGGTATTATCCAGGCATGACATTTAGTATATATTTATTTATGGAAGGTCATATTCAAATTGTATTGTAAATTATTAAAGATAATTTTATATTAAATTATTGAATTAAAATGAAATTTTATTAGAAAATTTTAAATATAATTTTTTATGTTGAAATAAATTTTTAAGTGAATCAGTATTCTAGCTTATGATATAAATCAGGCTGTTTAAATTGTATTATTATTTTTTTTCTTTCTTATAAACTGTCTATCTGTCAAAAATCATTTTTCTACAAAGATATATATAACAACTTGTAAGTGGGCTCTCCTTTGTCTATGAGATCATAAGCAAATTCACGACCTCATTCCTTGCATTTGGAGTAGAATTAAGTGGGTTCTCACCGGATACCATGTTTTTTACAGTCGGGGAAGATCGGCTAGCTAGCTAGGATGTAGCTAGTACCATCCTGTTAGGTTGGTTGTCATTTTATGTAAGGCACCAATCATTAACCATTGACTATTGGTAGCAATCATTATTGAATGAGTTAGAGTTGGTGGCCACCAATATTGACAACAAAGCAAGAAGAGCCTCCATGAATGCCTATAAATAAAGGCATATGTGAGAGAGCAAAATGTGAGAAAGAAAAGAGCCAAAGATGTGAGAAATGTAAGAGAAAGTGGGCGGCCATTGCAGCACTAAAAAGAAAGAAATAAAGTGAGGTTGAGAGTTGTGAAAGAGGAGATGATTCCTCCTCCTCTATTGTTGTAAATCTTATACTCTCTCTACATAATGCAATGGCTTCTCCCGTGGATGTAGGCAGTTTTGCTGAATCACATTAAATATTATGTCAACGTGTTTGGCCTCCTATAAGTAAATATCAGTACATTACCGGTTGGAATTCTCAACACATCCAAACCTTGAAAGCGTGCCTTTTCTTCTTCTTCTTTTTTTTTTTTTTTCCCCCACCGGAAAACTACCTGCCTGCCTCGAGATTCTCTCATCTACTGGTATCAGAGCAATAAAAGCGCGTGTACACAGTGTGGAGTGGTTAACGTAAAATCACAAGGTCAAATTAAAGCTGCCGCCGTCTCGGCTGAGTTGTGGATAATAACATATGAAAAGCTTATGATCTTATTGAAACTGGTTTCACATGACGGCCAAATTGCCGATGCAATTTGAAACATGCTATTACAAAAAATAATAAGCGTGCATGATAGGACCCAAGAGTCAATGTTTGCGAGACCCACGTAGAACTAGCCAGTGATAGACTATAGAAATCTTTATGTAATTCTGGGAAAATAATCTTGTATTCTTTTGATAACACCACTAGTTATAAATCATCGATCATTCATTTTTTTAAGGATTTCTTAATAGGCACAGTGCTGCTAGAAATTTATTGCTGCAGGTCCATGTTCTTGATGTCACAACAACTTGTGGCCAAACTTCTGTAAGAACAGACAGAAAGGATCGAAAATCTCCCCTTCCTTTTCTTTTCCTTTTCTTGTCGATGAATGATCAAAACATATCTCATATATGAAATATAAGGTATCGGACTAACATGGTTTTCTCTCTATTTTTTTTTTAATTTATTGCACATTACGGATTTGTAACGATAAAAACTTGAATTACCCTAGCACCAATACGTGGTGACCTTCCAAGCCGGCAAAGGAAAGTGCCTGAGGCTTCCCTTAAGACACACCAAGAAAGGCACAGCGAAAACCATTGACCAAAAAGCAGTTATAAAGGATAATGACTTGATTTCTAATTTAAATATTGTAGAAATTCCACCAAGGCAAGTTGCTTATCCATGCCACAGCACTGCATGATCTAAGCAAAGAAGAATCAAATCCAAATATGAAATTAGGGAAAATCCAATATAGTTACTCAGCTTTTCCACCTTTCCCTGCTATTTTACGGTGACAGCCACGAGCAACTTGTTTGGTTTAAAATTATCCCAGTACGGACACAAAACAGCTTTAAATATGAAGTGCTGATAGATTCTGAAGACAACTCTAACAATTAACTCTTTCTCTGCCTCTGTATTCCTTGTATGTCTTATATTTCCTTCCTTATCTAGGATTTTATAGAACATTTTCCTGCTATATCTTAATCTTTTATCAAAACCCTGAACTCTCCATAGTCTGTTTTTGTTAGCTTAGTCTTGTTCTCAACATCTATATACATATTGCACCAACTCATCAAAATCCCATTTTTCTATTCATACGAAAAAACACTTCCCTGAGATTTTTTAGCATCAAGTTTCAGGTTTCCGGATATCCTTCAACGTAATGGTATAGCTCTCTATCTGGAAAATCTGTTTCTGTTTGTTTCTTGTTGTTTTGTTATTTACCTTTCTCTTTCTTTCCTTTTCCTTTTCGGGCTTAATATTTTCAGGCACGAGAGACTGGGAATGTCAGATATGATGAGGTTAGATAAGTTCATGCTTAATGTTTATGTGGCCATAGTTCATTTTATTTTTGTTTTTGAATTATATTATTATTATTCTTTTTATCAATTTCAAAACTGTTTTCTTCTGTGAATTTTTATAGGAGTATGTGTTGAATTCTCGAGGAATGAAGCTTTTCACATGCAAATGGATTCCCATGAACCAAGAACCAAAAGCCTTGATCTTTATTTGCCATGGTTATGCCATGGAATGCAGCGTCACCATGAATAGTGAGTATCTGCAAATTAAATCTACATGTTAAGGCTGTAAACATGTTAAAGAAAATTGGTCTTTCAATGCTAAGGTGTGCTTTCATTATAATTTTCCAGGCACCGCTGTTCGCCTTGCAAAGGCAGGTTTTGCAGTGTATGGTGTAGATTATGAAGGCCATGGAAAATCAGCCGGCTTACAAGGCTATGTAGAAAACATGGATCATGTCATCAATGATTGCTCAAGTCATTTTACAAGCATATGTGGTCAGATTTTATTTTATTTTATTTTTCTCCTTGTAACATGTGATTTGTTTGATGTATCAGCTGCTTTGAAGAATTTTTTATGACCAGACTTTTGTTTTTGTTTAATTTTAGAGAAGCAAGAGAACAAGGGGAGGATGAGATATCTGTTAGGAGAATCCCTGGGTGGAGCAGTGGCTTTGCTCCTCCACAGAAAGAAGCCAGATTTTTGGGATGGTGCAGTGTTGGTGGCACCCATGTGTAAGGTAACTTTGTATATCATGTCGTCTTCTCCTGGACTTTACCCTTTGTCATCTCTCTCAGATTACTTCCTTTTTTCCAAAGTGACAAGCTCGTTTGGTAGCTTTTCCTTATATCTATATATATATATATAGATATATATCCATGGTCTTCCTACAAAATTGGATCCAGTTCTTGTTACTTTTCTTCTCCTCTCTGTTTTTCTATTTTTTTATTTTTATTTTGAGTATGATAATAAAAAAGCAGCTGGCTAGAATTTTGATTCAAACAAACACAACAAAAGAAGAGCGAATTACCTGTGCGACAACTACAAACAGTACGGAAATGCTGTCTCCGAGAACCTTCAGGTTCAGTCCTACTAGTCAATGGTCACAACAATAAAAAAACTCTTTCAACTGTCAACAAAACTTAGCAGAACTTGGCTAGGCAGGCAATATTTACTGTCATTTTATTGATTTGGTCCTCTATAAGCTGTTTGGACCCATTCTAGCTTAATAAAAGGCATGAAAATCTACTCTGATGATCTTGATTTTATTTACAGATTGCAGATGATGTGAGGCCACCTCAAATGGTAATTACTATTTTAAGAAAGCTTTGCAGTGTCATTCCAACTTGGAAAATAATCCCAACTAAGGATGTCGTGGACGCTGCCTTTAAACTACCTGAAGTAAGACAGCAGGTATATTTCTTTCCAAATATTTATTACTAATAATTAAATTCTTTTTCCACTAAAACGATGCATTAATTTATTAATGATGTCCTAATTACAGGTCAGAGAGAACCCATACTGCTACAAAGGGAAACCTCGCTTGAATACCGGCAATGAACTTCTAAGAATTAGCTTGGATCTTGAGCAGAGGCTTGAAGAAGTCTCATTGCCATTTCTAGTTCTGCACGGTGAAGAAGATAAAGTGACAGATAAATCTGTAAGCGAGAAACTCTTCAGTGTGGCTTCAAGTTCAGACAAGACCATTAAGCTGTATCCTGAGATGTGGCACGGTCTACTCTATGGAGAACCAGTAGAAAACCGTGACATTGTTTTTGGAGACATTATCGACTGGTTAGGGAACAGAACTCATCTTGGAAATACCAGATTGGAGATGGAGCAAAAACGTATGAATGATGCTCCTTCCAAGTCTAAATAACAGCAAGAAATTCAGTGGTGATGATGATGATCTTCTCCTGGGAAAGATTTTATTCTTCAATTTGACGAGTGCTCGGTCAAGTTTCAGTTACAAAAATGAGCAAAGACAAATAAAAAGAAGAAGACAGCCTAAGTGATGGCATGAGATGCATCAATAGTCGCTGTTGGAAAGGACTGTTCCACCTAAAGTTAACTTACGACTATGAGATAGGGACATTTTAATTATATAAAAATAAAATGGCTTCTGATTATGCTTAATTCATTCTCCTAAACATCATCTGTACGAAAAACTTGTTTGTTTTTACATAGCTTACCTTAATTTCATAGCGGAAAACTATCTAGATTTTGAGAACGTGTTCATTAGCTAATTTCAGTTCTCAAGTAAATGTAAGATAAAAAAATGGTTGATGTCCATTTCTAGTTGATGGGCTATGATGCTTAAAAATGGCATAAAATATTTATGATTAATTCAACTAATTCCAACACAGTAGATGAGAGAATCTCGAGGCAGGCAGGTAGTTTTCCGGTGGGGGAAGGAAAAAAATAGCGAAAGAATAGAAGAGCTTAACCAGATGGAGGACCTAAAATAGCACGATCAAAATTATGGACCCCAACACGACAACGAATGGATCCAAAAATTGTGGAAAAAACGAGCACACAGTGGGGAGCAGATCTAACCTACCTTTCATATTTTCTACGCAATGCTCTGCTGGTTGCATTAATCAATCAGTTTAAAATTCTTTGCCCGTTTCTACTTAAAACAACAAATCTAAGCAACCATCAAATTCACAAATGGTAACACATACCATCTTGGAGATTGACATTGCAACTGTCTGTTTATCTTACAACAAACTAAGCTCTCTCTACAGCGACTTCTTCATCACCAACGAAAACTGATCTAGCATCAACCTCCATCACTATCTAGCTGTTGTTCAAAAAAATTATCTTTACCTCAATTAGAAAAGCTGATGCCCAGAGCACTTCACCTCGCTGTGACTAACAGAAAGCAATCATTATTTCAGATACAACGACCCCTGCACATACACAACCACGTTCTCTGTCATCATACCACATAACATGTTAGAATCTAAATTCATAGATGTAACTGCTGTCAATGCAGATGCAGATGCATGCACATGAGTTAGCAGAAATCATCATCTAAGCCTCCACTTGTTCGAAATTATCCGCCAAACACATTTCAAAGTTGTGGATCAGATTGCAGCAAGGCCATGAATTACATGCATGGCATCCCAGCACATTAAAGCCACGAAACGACTGGATTTTTATTTTGTTTAACACCCAGAAACAAGAGAATCCAAGTTACGGAAATTTAAAGGCATTTGAGCTTTGAGGCTAACTTCCCAAATCTATCCATTTATGAAATGCACCAAAACAATGCTTGTAGCCAATTAGCATTCCAGTAAAGGATAATTCCCGATGTTGTACGATGACACATCCAAAATGGGGAAGAAAAAAAAAACTTGCAATTAACTTGCAATTCCTAGTGTGCATCTTAGAAGCTTTGTTTATATAAAAATTGTGTTCTGATAGGTTCTTGCATTGATAATGTGGCAAATAAGCCTCCAGCATCACCAGTTCACAGTGAGAAAGATTGCAAAATCAGAAAAATGGAAGAAACCAAAGCAAGAAGACTTCTTCAACTGAAATTTTACAAACTGATTGGCACGAAAACATTTAACCAGTGAGTGCTAACCATCTAGACTTACATATGCCCCCATGTAACAAGCCACTACCAACCACAAGGTCAATGGCATGCCACCAGGTGGACAATGATTGCAAGTATCAACCTTCAGCCATAAATAGGGTTCACAACATGCCAAAACCACCAGCACACATTAGGTTTGCAGAACGTGGTGCACTACATGCAAGCAAACCAATTTCCTATTTGCTTATAGAAAAAGTGAAGCTTGCTCACTCGCATTTGCAGGGTGCTAAATAATACCACACTCAGGTTACTATCTATACAGGTCCCATTGCAACAGGTTTTGATAGAACCACTGCATGGAGAAGAGGGTTGACATTGAAATCTTCTAGCCTCTCCTAGAAGGGCCAGAAGGTCAAAAATCAAACCCCTTTCCTGAGGGTTCAATCATAAAGTGCACTTCTTCAGAGGGTCGCTCCAGCAATCTTCCATATGATGCAGATTTCTAAACTTATTGGTTGACATGGCACATGGACTTTGACACTGTAAAAGAACGAAATAAAAAATAAAAAATTACCACATAACCTATACTTTTTTTAAAAAATATATTAATTTTTATCAATTTAAAGCAGTTGTAATAAGTTTTTTCTTTTCTTTTTACAAACCAAAAGGTATTTAAAAATCCAAAGAAAGAAGTTAGCCATATCACAGGTTAAGCAGAGCACAGATAAGCTTTCCACAGAAGGGACGTTGGCCAAAAACTCCAACCATAAACATTAAATATATCAGTTCAAGTATACTTTAAATACAAGTATATTTATAGAACAAATGAAAGGGTGAATAAGAGCCTTCATCAACAACACTTGCCCATCGAAATTAACACAAAACTAGGATGCACCATCTTCTCCCTTATCTCACTTAATTTATTTAATTGACTTCTTATGCCTATTTATTATATTCCATGGGTGACTACCTCAATAACCCAACACTCTTCACATCATAGCCTTTTTTATTGTACAAATAGTTCATGTATGGTTTCAAATCTGAATCCCAAAAGAACCCACGCATACATTACCATGCATTCATGAAAATATGTCTCATTCATGCCATATCTAAAACAACTGTGCAAATGCATGTTGAACTAAATATAAGATGATCACAATATTTACAAGGGGAAAGGGGGCACCTTCAAGCTAATCCTTCCTCAGATGATCTTGTTTCGAACTTCTTCAAGTTTCTTGAGTATCTCCCCAGGAGTTCTGTCCAGCTCATCTGCAATTTTTCTTTGTGCATCAAGCGGCAAAGTCGGGAACTGCTCACATAGGTCTCCATCGATCACATCCTGCAAAATTGCCATAACACTTTAGCATTCTTTTAGAAAATACCAAGTAGCAGTATGGCTTAAATAGTCTACATAAAAATATGAAGACAGGATTTTCTTTTTAAAAAAAAAAAACAAATTCATTACTGAGACAAATATGTACATGCAACGAATTGTCTCTGTTTGAAACAACTCAGTGGTTTTAGTAACATTTTAAAGTGGTGTTGAGAAACTATAATAAAATGAAACCACTTATAATGACTTACCTTAACAGGAAAATAAGCAGACCTATATGCCATATGATCTCTTCCACACAAAGGTGGGTGGTCTTGTCTCAAATGCATCTCCAAGTGTGAAAAGAAGTCAACATCATCTCGAGAGGTGAATGGAAGTAGGGCCCCCACACTCCCCATCACTGTCCCATACATGATGCATTCTCCACCGCCTGGAATTAGAGATGCCTTCTGCAAGCAATTAACCACATCGCCAATATGAAACTGTACTATCTCCTCTACCTTGTTTGGAGCTCCATTAAGCTTTCCCTGCTCCCACTTTATCTTTCCGCCAGTTGGATCTTCTTCTATCTCATCAGAAACATCCTGCGGCAACCTCACAAAGTAGATATTCCCAAACTTGTCTGCACCAGCCATGGTATCAAAATCTACATGGTATGAAGCTGTAAGCCATCTTGGAACACTGTCATCAGCAAAAATATACAGCTGATTTTCATCCCGCCTGTACTTGCAGAAATGAAATGACTGCAAAGTAGATAACAATAAAATCATAACATTAGGAGGAAAAGTTGGACATCAATACATGAAAATGTATATCAAAATGAACAAATATCTAAAAGAAATATATACATGGATTAAAGGTATTTTAGAAAAACATACTTCTTGAATGTCCCCCACATAAATCCGATCACGATAGGTGTGAATAGAGACAATGGAGTTGGGGAACAGCTTATTCTCACATTTTCTAAGCAGCCTTTTTTTCCCCAAGTCATACAATCTAAGCACGGACCCTATTCCTGCAAGTAATCTTCCCTGAAACTGACACAAAGCAAGTGGAACTCCTTCTACTTGTGTCTTATGCAAGAGTTCCAGGCTTTTACCATCATCCACAAATTTATAAATGTGAATGAACCCAGCAATTAAGCTTCTTTTGGGCCAAAACTGCAGTCCCTTGGCTGTACCAACAGCTAAGAGAGTTCCATGCTCCTTGTCGTGGAAATTTACAGTGCATAAGCTAAAAGCAGCTTCATTGTCCTGAAGTTCCAGCAAGCACGTAGTAGTAGCTGACCTTGGGTCAAGTACTCTAATGCAAGAAACCCACCTGTCTGCCTCAGCCTTTGGATAACCATACTGCTCATCAGAGAGGGGGTCATCTTTATCATCATCATCACCATTTTCCATCTTCTCAGCGCTGGCACTGCCATTTTCCCCCATTCCAGCAGCTTCAAAGCACTCCTTTTTTGCTGCTTCACGCTCCTCTGCTGTATATGCTCCTTGATCACTCTCAATAATGACCAACAATTTCCGCTTAGGTTGAAGCACAAACTTTCTTGGAGTGTATCTTAGAGGTATTGCAGTTTCATTGAATGTTTCTCCCAATCTCTCAATTGTAAAAATCCTCAATGCATCCCCAGCGACAGCAACCACACCTTCTGCACACTGATCAGATGAGAATGAAGCAGCATACTCAAGAGTTTCATATGAAAGGGGCGTTAACAGAAAATGCCCTTGGTGAATATAACCAAGCCAAGGTCGGCTAGATAAGCACAGCATCGCACGTCGACCTCTCACATTAATGGCAAAAAGTTTTGGGGCCCTCAACCCCAAAAACCGGGAACGGGAGTCAGAAAGCTGGCCTGTCACCATATCCACCACTGTCCTAAAGAGAACCCCAGTCTGCAAACCAGCATTGAGGAAAAGACTGGCAGGGTGATCAGCACCATCTTCACCACCAATTGATGCCTGAACCTCAAGAAACAGGAGGGATTCTGGAGGCGCTGAAACACTTTGCACACTCAGAATCTGCATACAGTCATCAGGATCCAAAGACAAGACACGGATGGTGTTATCATACGAACCAACTGCTAGGAATCGAGACCTCTGTCTTCCTTCTGGAACAGGGGCAATGTCCAAACAGGCCACATCTCCAGACATCTCATGCTTCTCCACCTCCATTAGCTGACCAGTCATATCCACCTCAAAATATATAAGCTCTCCTCCACTTAAAGCAATAACCACTTGAAGTCTATTTGAGCCAACTTTCACAATTGTCCTCTTTCCAGGAGTTCTCCACTCATTAATACGCCCATCTTCCCTAATATGTCTTATGCCATTTGGGTGAATTTGCATCAAAGAATCATCACCAATTAAAGAAACAGCAAGGGAAGGTGTGGTATCAAGAAACCCACTATCGCCAACTTCCTCAACTGTTTCTCCAATTGAAAGCACAAGAGTTGCGTTGTTGAAGGACACAACAATATATGCATCAAACTCATCATTAAGATTCCTTTTCACAGTCCAAACAGCACTTGGTACACCAGGAAGCTGTGACACAGCCATCTCACTAATAGCCAAACCAGGCCTCAGTATCCTCAATGAGGAGCGAGGACCCCGCCCACAAAGTGAAAATATCTGAGGGGTTTCTTCATCAAAAAGATTAGCAACCTTCATGTCCATAATAGGCATCAAGCTCTCAACCTGGTCAATCCTAACAAGATTCTTTAACCCTCTTGGCTGGAAAAAAACAGGCTGGAAGCCTTCCTCGGTTTCCATCAAAGTAGCAGAGGAGGCCTCCACATCCTCTTCCTCCCCAATGGCCTGAAACTGATACAATGCATGATTCCCAAACTCTGACGCAGCAAACAAAAACCCTGATTTCAACACACATATCGAAGAAGTAACCGGGATCGTGTCAAAATACTTAATCTTCAACTCCTTAACCTTGTCATTCTCATGATCCAGTGTAACCTTAAAAATGTCACCGTACTCAGTCTGCAACAAAAAGAAAAACATCGATTTCTGCTTATGTGTTGCTGCAGAAACTATCAAAACCCCACGTTCAGCGGGCAAATCAGCACGCCTAGGA